TATTCACGTAGCTGAAGTTGCGTACCTTAGTTCGAATTAGGGAGGGTAGTGTAGACCAAGCCTAAGAGACCATGTAACTTTCTTACCAGGAAGGTAGTTTGTTAATTTCATACACCTTTAGATCTAGGTGACGGTGTTACAGCAAGTGATTAGAGTGGGGAAAACACTTATCTTTGCAGCAGTGCCAGCCAACTGAGAAAAAAAAAATCAAACAATCTAAAAGTCATGAAAAATTTCAGTGAAGCAAAAAAGTTTATTTAAGATCAAACAAAACATGTTTAACCCAGAACATTTTGTTCCCAAGCGTTTTCAAAGGGCTCCATTCACAAGACAGCCATCCTTAGTTCTTAGGGCACTTACCTGGGATATGGAAGACCAGGGGTCAATTCCTCTGTGGCAGAGTGCAGCGGCAAGGCTGTCCGATAAGCAGCAAGACCCACTTTGGACAAATTTAAAAACAAAAAAGCCTGGATTTATTTTAAATAAATAAATCCAAACAGAAAGGAATACCTTCCATAACATACCTCCAACAGGCCTAGAATCCATCACCAGGTCTTCCCTCCTGTAATTCTCTCACTCTCAATTAGAAGCCAAGGCAATTTATAAAGGGCTTCTCTACCCAGGACCCTTTGCAGGGTAAGGAAGTCCCTCTCCTGTCTCTCTGGGTGATTGACACCCCATCCAGCCAACCAACTCTCTTTCCCCTGCTCCTGGTTTGACAAGAGCTTCACACCATTACATCCTCTGTACTTTCACACCCCATAAATTTTGGGGTGCCCCACTTTTCATAGGTTGTCACCTTTGATCCCCTTCATCTCATTAGTATCTATGTAAACATGTTTCCATGGTAACCTGCGGTAAGAGTAGAACTTTTCATAATGTTACAATCACATCTTGTGGTCTGACCATCACCTATTGGCACATTCTTTACATAATCTTGTAATTTGACAGGCACAGGGTTAGTCCTAGGTCACCTACGTATATCATGCCTCCTTAAGCCTGAGGCCTAGCATGATTAAGCTAAACTCTTACAAGCCTTAGCCTGTAGGCCTTGCATTACAGCTTTGCTTTTCTTATTTACCCAATACACACTCATCACTCCTAACTACTTGTCAATCTCACAAGTAGGATAGCATCATAGGAGTGTATCTCTACCTATTGTGACAAAGTTCCTCCTCTACCTTGGTGGGTCCTGCGCTTATTGGCCGATTTTCTTGCCTCAGAGATTCACCATGTGGGTCGGGGAACAGCCCAGAGACCTTCCCCTCTGGTGGAACCCACAGTCCAGGTCAACTCCTCCTGTGTCCAATCAGGAGTTGGGAGGTTTGGGGGGAACCTGGGCCTGCCCTCTACTCCGGGTTCCAGCCCAGGGCCCTGTGAACTGTAGCTGTCTAGAGTGCCTCCTGGAACAGCTGCGCGACAGCTACAATTCCCTGGGCTACTTCCCCATGACCTCCTCCCAAACACCTTCTTTATCCTTACCACAGGACCTTTCTCCTGGTGTCTGATAATGCTTGTACTCCTCAGTCCTCCAGCAGTACGCCTTCTCACTCTCAGCTCCTAGTGCCTCTTGCTCCGAGCTCCGTGCATGTATGCCACAAACTGAAGTGCGGTCCTTTTTAAACTCAGGTGCCCTGATTAGCCAGCCTGTCCTAATTGATTCTAGCAGTTTCTTCTTAATTGGCTCCAGGTGTCCTAATTAGCCTGCCTGCCTTAATTGGTTCCAGCAAGTTCCTGCTTGTTCTGGAACTGCTCCTGTTACCTTACCCAGGGAAAAGGGATCTACTTAATCTGGGACTAATATATCTGCCTTCTAACACTCTCCTGTAGCCATCTGGCCTGACCCCGTCACACTATACATACAACCGAAATCTATTTCTCACACACTGATTACGTATGGACTAACAGAGGAGTTTGCCATGACAATAGATAACACAGTTAAATGATACAATGAACTAACTGGCTACATAATGCATAGGCCAAATCACCCCTAATGTTACTCCATGCACTTAAATGCTTTCGGAGATGAAACTGTATCCTGCTGTTGTCTCTCCAGCTCCTGCCAAAGTCTCCCAGGGGTCAAACACAGTAGACATGTAAAAGTTAGAGGGATTTTTTAATTGAAGAAAGTGACATAAAGGGAAGTGACAAACCCTCACTGGGAATTAGGGCTGGGAAGTTCTAGGGAATGATGTCTAGGTGCTGAAATTGTCTGCTCACCGCACAAAAGGTAAAAGAGCTAAGGGTGAGGTGAATGTGTGAAAGGACTGATGGTTTAGAAAATGGAGAATTTCTACCACAGGGTAACTCACTCCCCCTCTCCTGAGCAGCCTACATATGGGGACAGGAATGCAGAGAGATAAAAGAGAATCTTAATTGGGCTGTGTAGCCCCAAATGATGCTCTCTCAGGCCAGTAAAAACTGAGAGGGACTCCATTTCCAGCGAAAACACAGGCAGGTCAGTGGAGTTGGATCAGATTTAAACCAGACACATAAAAATGCACAAGATTTGGCCCTTAAAGGGCTACGGCTTTTAGCATTACACTTTGTGAGGTTGAATCCTTCCTTTTTTCTCTGCATAAGTTTTTTTGTTTGTTTGTTTTTGCATGGGGGCTATGGGATTAGTGGCAAAAGCTGAAAGGAAGCCACTGGCATGAAGACTGAAGTTCTCAACACCAAGGCCTGGTCCACACTAGCGGGGGGAAGGTTGATCTTCAACTTCAGCTACTAGAATAGCATAGATGAAGTCGATGTATCTTAGATCGAATTAAAATTACTTACTTTGCGTCCTCGCGGCGCTGAATCGACGGCCGCGGCTCCCCCGTCAACTTTGCTTCCGCCTCTTGCACTGCTGGGGTTCAGTAGTCAACGGGAGAGCGATCGGGGATCGATTTATCGCATCTACACTACACACAATAAATCGATCGCTACCCACCGATCCGGCAGGTAGTGTAGACATACCCCAAGAGAAAACCCAAACTTGGGTTTTGGAACATATGGACATTGTATGAAACAGGGAAGCTAGTTCAGGTCACAGAGAGATGAGACTCTACAGCTTACACATTCTGGGTGTCAGCAACAGCAGATTGACGGGATCAGGAAGATTAACAACAGCGTCAGGAGAAACTTTGCTGTATTCTGGATGGGATGATGTACAACACCACGAGGGCGTTGCCATCCTTTTGAAGAAGGGAGTGGAGCAGTCCCTGCTTGAGTGGAAGTCCATCAGCAGCAGACTTATGAAAGCCAAACTGAAAGGGAAACACAATAATATCGCCCTGAATAAGTGCTATGCTCTGACAAATGACAGTGATGAAGAAGCAAAGAACAAATTCTATATTACATTACAGGCGGAGTTCAAGAGAGTACCACGCCACAACCTAACTATCGTCATGGGAGACTTGAATGCCAAGGTCGATAAGGACAACACAAAGAACATCAGAGCAAATGGGAAGACATGGGTGTGGCACCATGAGTGAAAACGAAGAGAGGCTTGTTGATTTCTGCAATATGAATGACCTAATCATAGGCAGAACCCTATTTCAACATCATGAAATTCACAAGCTGACATGGTGTTCCCTAAACGGCAGAGATAAGAATCAGATTGACCATATAATGATCAATGGCAAATGGGGACGCTCACTGACAGATGTGAAAGTGAAAAGGGGAGAAGATGTTGGCAACGACCACCACCTTGTGTCAGACTCCATCAAGCTAAAATTGAGACATGTGGGTCCACAAAAAGGACATAGACCAGGGATCGGCGACCTTTGGCACGCGGCCCGCCAAGGTAAGCACCCTGGCGGGCCGGGCCGGTTTGTTTACCTGCCGCGTCCGCAGATTCGGCCAATCGCGGCTCCCACTGGCCGCGGTTCGCCACTCCAGGTCAATGGGGGCTGCGGGAAGTGGCGGGGGCTGAGGGATGTGCTGGCTGCCGCTTTTTCAAATATACCTTTCATGACCCATCTTGCATAAAACATATCTTAGTTATGCCATATTCATATCACAACAATATTTCTATGAAGAATACAGGGTGTAACATCACAGGGAGATCAACAAGAACTGGGACAAAGTAACAACAATCTGTAAACAGAGCAGTGAAGCCTGGCTAGGCTACAGGCAGAAGAGAAGAAAGGAGTGGATTACACCCAGCACATGGAATGCCATAGAAACCAGATGAGCTCTGAAGAAAAAAGTTTTAGACACAATCTCAGAAGCTAAAGGACAAATACCACGAGCCGGGAGGTCAAAGGGTTTGTGAAGGCAGACAAACGACATTATATTGATAATCTGGCAACACAAGCAGAAGATGCAGCTTATCAGTGGTAAATGACAGAGACCAACAAACACTTTCATCTGGGACAAACAAGGCCACCTACTGACAACAGAAAAAGAACAAGAAATGCGCTGGACAGAGCATTTCAGAGAATTGCTGAACAAGGAGCCACCTAAAGAGGAAACAAACATCCGGGAGGCAGAAGAAGTTCTTGATATCAACACAGACACCCAAACTAAGGAAGAGATCATTCAAGCCATCAAATCCTTAAACAATGGGAAAGCTCCTGGCAAGGATAACTTGAATGCAGAATTATTCAAGGTAAATCCTGAGTTACATCAGAAAGGGGGGAAAGTGCCAGATGAGTGGACCAGTGGGGTTATAGTGAAGATACCAAAGAAAGGAACTCTCAGCGATTGTAATAACTGGCTTGGTATCACACTTTTATCTATGCCAAGCAAGGTATTGTGTAAGATCATAGTCCAGAGGCAATTGATAGCGCTCTCATAAAAGAGCAAGCCGGTTTTCGGAAAGGGTGTGGATGCACAGACCTGATCTTCACTCTATGAAACATAAGAGAACAATGCTTAGAATGGCAATGGCATTTACATAAATGGCATTTACATAAACTTCATAGACTTTGAGAAGGCTTTTGATATCATTCACAGGACCAGCCCATGGTGCATTCGGTGGGCCTATGGAATCCCTCTCTGTATAATCAACACAATCAAAAGCTTCTATTCCAACTTTACATGCAGTGTTGATCACAGTTTTGAAGTCAAAACAGGAATACGTCAGGGGTGTATCAGGTCTGCAATCCTCTCCAACATTGCCATCGACTGGGTAATGCAGCGTACAACAGAAGATATGCCAAGAGGCATTAAATGGACACCCTTCTCATCCCTTGAAGACCTGAACTTCGCAGATGATCTCACTCTCCTATCACATACCCAACACCATATACAAGAAAAAACAACTTGACTCAACATATTCAGCCAGCAAACTGGACTGAAAGTCAACCGTAATAAGACAGATATCATGACCTTTAATATTACCTCACCATCACCAGTACGGATAGAGGATCGTGTTCTCACCAAGACAGAAACATTCACATACTTGGGCAGCACCATCAGCCAGGACAGTGGAACAAGCCAGGACATCCGGAACAAAATCAATAATGCCGGGAACACCTTCAGGAGCTTAAATACAGTTTGGAAATCATCAAAATACAACACCAAAACCAAACTCAAGATTTATCAGAGCTGTGTACTTTCAACACTACTTTATAGTGCAAAATGCTGGAGAATGAGAAAGCGTGACATGTCCAAACTGTCTTCATTCCATAAACCTGCCTCAGAAAAATCCTCCACATCTTTTGGCCCAGAACAATCTCAGACCAAGACCTATTCACACAGTGCAGCCAAGAGGATCTGAGCACCATCATTGCCTGGAGGCGTTGGAGATGGATCGATCATGTGCTTCGGATGGAAACTGATTCCATCACCAGAATAACATTAAGATGGACACCTGAAGGAAAGCGAAAACGAGGCTGCCCCAAAACAACATGGCGAAGAGCTGTGGCTGAAAAACCTGGGGCACAATTGGGGAACCATTGAAAGACTTCCCAGAAACAGACAAGAGTGGAGGAGCTTTGTTGCTGCCCTAATGCCAGAGACATAATGGGAACATGATGGGGTTAAAGCAAATTATTCCTACCAGAGCATTGGCCCCATAATATCAATTTAACAACAATAATTTGACGAGCTGATCCCAAGAGCCAGCTGAGTGCATTGTGCCATTATCACTGAATTTTTCATAAAAAAAACAAGGCTTCAATTACATAAGCTTCCTCCCTACACTGATTAATATCAAATCACCAGCTGCATATCCGCTGATCGCCACTGACAACTAGCTGTAGCATTAGCTGTACCATTTGCTTCATTAGGAAAAGGGGAACAATGTGGGAAGCATTCTTAGCTATTCTCACTTTGTCTATGGCAACAGGTAAGTTAAATTGTATTAGAACTAGGGGAAAACCAACTGGAATACCCATGAATATTTGATATTCTCATACATGGATGAGGAAGATTAAGACGGGCACCCTAGTCCTGCCACTGTGAAAGGGGACAAAGATCTGACAGTGGTTTCCTAGAAGCTAGAACCCACTGTCTTTTATTCTCTGATGCATTCCCATCCGATAGGCTGGCAGTGTGCTAAGATCCTGCCCGGTATTGCTCTGATAAAATGAATTTGGATGTAACCAGACTTTCATTTTATTTCCACAGGTGCTGCCCCAGAACAGCGCTGTAAGTACGATGACGTTCTTCAGTACCTAAATATCTCCTCTGAAAAGGCACCCCCACTACATACGATACCCAAGGAAAATTGGAAAGAGCCGTTGAAAGTGGAGACACAATTTATACTGATTTCCATCCTCTCGGTGGTAAGAAAACAAACCTCTTTATTATTCTGTATAGTAGAAAATATTGTGTAAATTGACAAGTTAAGGCAGCTGATGATCCTAAAGTGAATGAGTGATCCTTTTCTCACTCATACCAGCGCAAATGGGGAGTAACCCCAATTACTGTCACTGATGTGAGAGAGTAGAACCTGAACCTTCGGTCTTCTTCTGACCTTCTCCAGACTTCATGGCTGTGGTTTGAAAGTAGAATCCAGAGCAATGTTTGTTGGAGGTGCCAGGTGTAAAATAGTTTGTCACACCCGCACAAATGAGAGAGTTGTTTAAAATGGTTTTAGTGATCACATATTGAACAGGTGTCACATTAAAATGAGCTCTAAAAGATCTAAGTCCAGGGCAAAATTCATTTCTATAGCAGCCTCCTATCCACTTTTTAATTAACCTGTTAAGCTGCCCTGCGCTGCCAAGACACTGCAAAGTTGTCCAAGAATACTCAGGAATTTGGCCCTTGATTTGGATTTCATCAGAACTTCTTTCTTTTTGTTTCCTGCACACACACATCACACACAAAAAAGCACCTCTTACAAGGGAAACACCACCCTCTGCTTAGCATGGGTGAAGGAAACCCACATTATTATCTGGTGTTACAGCAAAGTGGAGTTGGGGGGAGTGGGGAGAGTGAGTAGAGACTTGTGCAGTTCTTCTTTGTTTTTTCCCTCCTTATATATCAGGGTCCTGTTTGCCAGAAGCTGGGAATGAGCGGCAGGGGATGGATCACTGGATGATTACCTGTTCTGTTCATTCCCTCTGGGGCACCTGGCACTGGCCCCTGTTGGAAGACAGGATACTGGGCTAGATGGACCTTTGGACTGACCCAGTAGGGCCATTCTTATGATCAGATTCTGTAGACTCTATTTCCCTGAGCCATGGTGCAAATTTTCTCCTGCTCTGGATCCTCTCCCAGCACAGATTTACATAGGCAGGTGGATTCTATCAGGCAACTCTTTTTTCCAAACATTGAATCTTACAAACTGGAGAGTCGAATGGGAGGGTAAGACCAAGAAAAGTACGTTATTGGTCTGCCCTGATTTTCTCATATCTCTGACCCCCATCACACCATCATTGTAAGAAAAAACGCTGAACAGCCTCTAAGTTCTGTACCTATTTTAGTAAATGAAATCATGACAATCACTTTCCCATTTTGTTTCTCTAGACTGAAAAGCTTCAAACTGTCACAGTCTATTTCGTAGTGACCATGGTAAGAGATTTTTTCTGTAAAATCAAAGTTATTTCCTGTGTGCTGAGAGTCCAGAAATTGTTTCCATTCTGGGATTTCTCTTTCCTCTAGAAGTGGAAAAATGGCTTTGTGACTTGGAATCCTCAAGATTTCTGTAACATTTCCAAACTCGTTCTGCCAGTGGATACATTTTGGTCCCCATATATCGTCATTTATGAACAGTAAGACTCTTGTTGGCTAATTTCAACTTACTTCCGTAAGAGGGATAATTACAAGGGACATGATGGTTTCCACTAAGATCAATGGGACTGACTCATCTGAGTGAGGATTACTCACATAAGGAAAGGTTTTGCAGGATGAATTGTGCAGTTGAAGAAGGGGTACGAAATAGCTAAGAATCAATTACCTGATCTCATGCTACTGTAGGAAAATATTCATTAAATAAAACTGTGGTTTTTTAGTCCCTGAGTGAGGAGGCACTAGTAGAGCATTGCAGGCTATGGGAAAATTATCTAGAGAGAAGGAAGCCAATCAAAAGGAGACAGACTCTAACAGCGTAGCTTAGAGGCTCCTGTCACTGTTTATTCTAGAGGTCCAGGAGATGCCCGCAGTACTATGATATTTGGTATTGTCCCTAAATGGTTAATTATTAATGATTATTTGTTAAGCAGCAAAAGCATACTCAGCACTGCACAAGACACAAATAAAGACATAGGGCCGGATTCTGCTCTCACTTTACATGGTGGAAATCAGGAGTAATTCAGTTAGAGGGCGGAGGCAGTGAGAGATCAGAATTAGCCCAACAGTCCCTGGTCCAATGGGGCAAGTGGTTCATGTGTCCTTGAATGTCTTTCCTGTCTCATCTAGCATGCTAATGGGGTGCACTACAAGTCTTCGTGTAGATGGGGGTTATCAGCCCTTCTCTGTGCTCCAGAGACTTTATCTGCTTGCTTTCTCTCTTCCGTCTCTCCTATCTCCTCCCACATCCTTTTTGTCCTCTCCTGTTTGTTTTAACTCTCTCATCCCTGGTTACTTGCTGTCACTCACACTCTGTCTTCTGTTTCCTGTTGTATGTAGTAAGGTTCACTGACCATTCAAAGTCAGACTAACAGTGAGTTTGCAAAAAAATATTGTCTTCGATCTGCAACAAGCGTTTTGTCATTTTACTCTTCATTGTTGTTGAATCATTGGTTCCTTCAGAGTGGATGAAGAGAAATCTCTCAGCAGGCCCTTTCTGTCCATCACTCACAATGGCATCATTAGCACAACCCAACAGCACCAGGCCACCATAACGTGCAGCTTGGAGATGCACAAGTTTCCATTTGACAGCCAGATGTGCAACTTGAGCATATTCTCAGCTATGTATTCAGGTATGTCCGTTCTTATTCACTTTTACTACAACTAGACTGGATTGGCTGGTGCTGGCCACTGTCCCCAACTAGTCAATGAACTAGACGGATCACAGGTCTGATCTACTATTGACATTTTTATGTTCACTACTCAATACTGTCCACTGTGTTTAAAAAAAAAAATGGCGTAAGGGAAAAACTGAGCTATGGCATGATCTCCCACTATGGAGTCTCCTATATGTTTATCTCTGGAAGAATCCAGGATCTGCCTCTGCAAAGCCTTTACTCCCAGGAGTGGACAGCTTAGTCAAATGACTAGTCCCACGGACTGCAATAGAGATTACTTGTATAAGAGTTTGCAAGATCTAGTCCTTAAAATATGCATGAGGGTCTAGATACAAAATAGAACTCCAAGGGCTGAAGTTGAGAGGACTAGTCACATGACTGAGAAAGGGCTGCAGGATAGGACCCAGACTTAAGAGATCTGAGTTCCAGGCTAGAGATCTAGAGTCTGGACTGCTGCATGCTTTCTTATTTTATCCCCACCATGGTAGTCGCAGAAACGGAGAGGCAAGCCTTACTTTCAAGCATGATCTTTTATTGTTTGCTTGGGGGTGTCCATTTAGCTACAACTATTCTAATAATTCAGTTTCACTTGAAAAGTAATTCGCTTCGTTAAACTAAAAGGTAGCAAATGTTTCATGACATTCCTAGAGTTTAAAGGCAGAAGGGATCATTAGATCATCTAGTCTGACCTTCTGTCTCTTACAACCCATTAAATGTCACCCACTTACCCCTGAATTGAGTCCAATAACTTGTGTTTGGCTAAAGCAGCTCTTCAAATCGTAGCTGGCTGACTTTCCGGAAGAGGAAACGCTTTGCTAGGAATGCCAGTATTAAACAGGCCCAGTTCACATCTGGGAGTGAAACATTCCAGGGAAGGGGGCTAGCCATCTCGGAATCGAGACCTAGATATTTTTCCTAAGAAAATGCTCCATTTGCACAATTGCCACCTTAAGGATCATCCTTCTGTAGCTAAAGGAATGTGCTTGCAGTAGTGAGTCTGTGCAGAAGAGGCCCAGATAGTAGCTACTCCCAAGTATTTAGGGAAGCACAGGAAAGAGAAGCCACTGCCAACTGCTCCTCTAAGTGCTTGATCTAAAGCTCACTGGAGTCAGTGGAAAGACTCCCACTGACTTCATTAGGATTTGGATCAAGGCCATAAGATGGGAGACAGAATTCAACCAAGTATCCAAGACCAATGGAGTTATGATACTCCTACAGTCAGCAGACATCTGTTTCCATTTAAGCAGTGACCTTTGGGCCAGATTCTGATCTCATACTGGTATAACTCCATTGATTTCAATGACGTTATCCCCAGTTTACCCTGGAGTAAGACTCAAGCTCCAAGTATACGACTAGTTCTGTTTCGGCCAAGAGATGTAATTTTCCCACGGGGGGGGGGGGGAAGTCTTAACCTTCTCTTCCCTCCTTCTGAATACACACCTGGACTATGGTGGCTGATCTAAACTCCCTGCACTGAGAAAGGAACCACCTTTAAACCACTTTCTCTTCACTTTCTTTCCTCAAACAGTAACAGACATTATACTCCTGTCCAATCAGACAACAGAAGAGGCGAATAAACAAAGCCAACTTTATCACCTGACCAATGGAGAATGGAAGTTCATGAACATAAACATCATAGAATACACAGATTCAGTGGACGAAGAAGAGTTTGCTGTGATCATCTATCAGGTATTGCATCATCAGTGTATTTCACACACTATATATTTCATTCATTGATTTATCATAAACACGCCCTTCAGAATATCAGGGCTCAGCTACAAAAACTAAAAACACAACCCAAGCAAAATCTAGTCATCTTGAAAGGACTAACCCCCACAATTACAAATACACATTCCCTACCAGGCAAAGCGCTTTATAAAATTATCGATATTTTAACGAAAGGTCCAGCAAGATATAGATTATTCGCTCATGCCCAAGAGTTAGTATTGCTGCCTTAGCAACTTTGTGGGAGTTTAAAATCTCAAAACAGAATGATCTGATAAAAATGAAAGTTACAAACCTCTAAATGGAGGTCTCAGAATGTGGCACCTCTGCAGCCTCTGCCTGACCCCTACAATGTAGATCTGTAGAGCTGAATCAAGAAAGAGCATGATCTGCTGCTCATGCCAAGTGCTGTGTTCTGCAAAAAGTTAATGGGGGAAATAGGCAACTCCCATGTCTAAACGGGAGAACTACAGCAGTCTCACAAATCCAGCAGCACGTATGTGCCCAAGACAACTCATGGTACCAGTTCCACTGCCACATTTCTAACATCTCTCACCTAACAATGCAGGAGGCAGGGCCAAAAAGAGGGTGGAACCAAAGCCAGATCATGCTTAAGCAAAATGAGCTTTGACAGTACAGCTCTCATAGGAGCATATGGGGTCAGACACTAATGCTGGCAAGTCGCTGGATTCCTTCATAGCCGGTAACATGAGACAGAACTACACAGTTATGGGTCCAGAACCTCAGTAGGTACAAATTGCTGTAGCTCCACTGACATCACTGGAGCTACACTGAGGATGTGGTCTAAGGCGGTTTCATCTTCCTTTGAGGCATCTAGTACAGGCCACTCTGAGACAGCTTACTGCACTAGATGGACCTTTTTGTCCACTCCCCTTTCAATGTGTGTGTTTAGGAGAGTAGAAGAAAAAGAAACCAGAGAGGTGAAGGCATATGTATTCAACGGGCACGTGTACATGAATATTGATACAAAGAATACCAGTATTAAAATAGTAAGAGTGCATAGAACATAGTGCTCAACCCAAAATTAGGGTAAAGAGGGTTAGGTGAAGTCACTGGAAGTAGGTGGTAGAAAGAGATGGGCAGGTAAGGAAGAGCTAACAGGACAGGTGGAAGAAGAGTCAGACTATGAGAGGATGGGAAGTTGGGGTTAGCATACAGGAAATGAAGTAAGGAAAGAAAGTCAGGGACAGGATGAGGGTGAGTGTTTATGGCTGGCACTTGAAGCTTAGGCTGCACTAGAGGGTAGGAAGCCCACTGGGGCCTATTCCCACCTTTGAGTTGATAGTGGTAGCCTGGATTCCAACCACAGTTGGAGAGTTAAGCTGTTATGGGATAAGAGGAAAGGTCCTCTAATGGATTGGTAACTGGTTAAAAGATAGGAAACAAAGGTTAGGAATAAAGGGTCAGTTTTCAGAATGGAGAGAGGTAAATAGTGGTATCCCCAGGGATCTGCTCTGGGACCAGTACTATTCACCATATTCATAAATGATCTGGAAAAAGGGGTAAACAGTGAGGCGGCAAAATTTGCAGATGATGCAAAACTACTCAAAATAGTTAAGTCGCAAGCAGACTGTGAAGAGCTACAAAAGGATCTCAGAAAACTGGGTGACTTGGCAACAAAACGGCAGATGAACTTCAAGGTTAATAAATGCAAAGTAATGCACATTGGGAAAACATAATCCCAATTATACATATATGGGTCTAATGGGGTCTAAATTAGCTGTTATAACTCAAGAAAGAGATCTTGGAGTCATTGTGGATAGTTCACTGAAAACATCCACTCAGTGGGCATCAATAGTTCAAAAAGTGAACAGAATGTTGGGAATCATTAAGCTGGGGATAGATAATAAGACAGAACATATCAAATTGCCTCTATATAAATCCATGGTACGCCCACATCTTGAATACTGCACGAAGATGTGGTCGCCCCATCTCAAAAAAAATATATTGGAATGGGAAAAGGTTCGGGGCGGGGGGGAGGAAATGATTAGGGGTATGGAATGGCTTCCATATGGGGAGAGATTAATAAGATGGACTTTTCAGCTTGGAAAAGAGACAACTAAGGAGGGATATGATAGAGGTCTATAAAACCATGGCTGGTGCAGAGAAAGTGTTCTTTATTCTCTCTCATAACACAAGAACTAGGGGTTACCTAATGAAATTAATAGACAGCAGGTTTAAAACAAGCAAGAGGAAATATTTTTTCACACAACACACAGTCAACCTGTGGAACTCCTTGCCAGATGATGTTGTGAAGGCCAAGACTATAACACAGTTAAAAAAAACTAACTAGATAAGTTAATGGAGGATAGGTCCATCACTGGGTATTAGCCAGGATGGGCAGGGATGGTGTCCCTAGCCTCTGTTGGCCAGAAGCTGGGAATGGACAATAGGGGATGGATCACTTGAGGATTACCTGTTCTGTTCATTCCCTCCGGGGAACCTGTCACTGGCCACTGTCAGAAGACAGAATACTGGGCTAGATGGACCTTTGGTCTGACCCACTATGGCCATTCTTATCTTCACAGTTGGAGGTATCAGTCTTATCCCATCAAGACCAGCACTAATCCAGGCCATTCTGTTATTTCATGTTTGCCTTGTTCCCTCCAGATCTCCATGAAAAGACGACCCATTTTATACGTTTTGAACCTTATCTTCCCAACATGCGTGCTCTACTTATTGGATATGGCTATTTTGTTCAGTGCCAGCTCTTATGGGGACAAGATCAGCTTCCAGCTGTCACTCATCATTGGAGAGTCTGTGTTAGCTGTGATTCTTAAGGACATTCTTCCCACTTCTTCCGATGACCCACCCATAATAGGTACTTGTCTTTATTGAGTAAGTCACTTTATATTAGACATACACTGAATGTAAGGAAGAGAGCAGAGTACAAATGTGTCGCCTATTCAAAGATAGGAAGAAGAGGAACACTAGTCACTGCAGTAGAGTTGTAATACCAGAAGTCCCTATGCAGAGCAGTTTATGGACTTGGGGCACTATATTTCTTCTATTAAGCAGAAGCCCACAGTACATAGAATTATGGATCTAGAAGTAGTAAGGCAGAGAGTTTATCAATCACATCCTCTTCATCTTCTTTTGCAGTGATGTTTTTCATAGGCATCTTTGTCCTAATGATTATGGGTGTATTGGAGACCTGCCTATTAATACAGCTCAAAAAGAAACCCCTACACCCTTTACTCAAGGCTATCAAACTGCTGAGATGCCGCAAGCAAGCTAGAACAACATCTGGAAACCTCCTAAGCAAGCAGGGTTGGTGTTTGGTTACCTACATTTGAATACTCTGTATCCAGTAGCAGGGTTCTGTCAGTAGGGAGCCCCTTATCTCTGGAAATCAATCACGTTAGCAGGCTTAGAATCCATGTCCATTGTGTTTCAGGCCACATTTGATCATAAATTGACACACAGTTAAGACACCTACCTCTCAACATCATTATGGTGCATATATTATATTAATGAAATATATGTAGGCATATATATATATATATATATATATATATATATATATATATATATACACACACACACACACACACACACACACACACATATATACACACACACACACAAGCTGCACCTTTATTATTTATGTAGGCTCAGCTGTAAAGCCAGCCCCACGTAGAGTCCACCAATTCTGGCCAACCCCACAAGTCCCTTGAGCCAGAAAAGTCCTTGAGATTTTCTGATAGAAAGATGTATGAAGTTTAATAAAAACTATCAAGCAAATAAAGTCAAGTTTAGCATCACGCAGGCCTCTGCTCTTGTCCACAATTTCCCTTAAAGTATATTTACATTTGGCTGCTGTTCTGCCCATTGTAGGAGATTCGCTGACTGAGATGGCCAGGGGACAAGAGGAGGAGAGGAGAGATTCAAGCCCACTTGGAAAGGGAAATACAGAACTACCCATGCTTATGGAAACAATCAATGCAGAAGGGAAGCGAATTGGGACCCAGGCAGAGCTACAGGAGTGCGACTCAGCTCTGCTAGTTCTGGATCAGGTGCTTTTCTGCAGCCATTTGCTTTTATCACTACTGTTTAGCATCGTCATTATTGTACAATGGAGCAGTTAAATGTGGGCGAATTGCCTTTTCTAATACTTGCTTGCCTCAGCCTCCTCCCTAACAAGGTTTTCTTGTTTCTTATGCTTGAATTAAGCAGTGTACTGCATGTCTGAATAACACTGCAAGCTCTGCAGGGCAGGAGCCTTGCTCTTGCATGTGCTTTGTAAACAATGTGTACACCTAGGGCATCCCATCAGCAAATAAGTTACCGGAATAAAATACATTCATGGAGCTAGTGTTCCAGCTGACAGGGAATTACTGGAGTAGGTATAAGTCCTCTGAGCTGTACCTCTCAAAAGTGCTGAACTACACGTGGAGTCCTGGGGGGAACAAAGCAAACATGAAATAGCACAATGGACTAGATTAGTGCTGGTCTTGATGGGATGAGACAGGCTCCTCCAACTGTGATTGGAGTCCAGGCTACCACTAACCAGGTCCAATGAGCGTATCATGGGCAGGCTACAGAGAGATGCTTGCACTTGTAATACAGGAAAGGGCTGAAAACTAAACTGGGCTGCTCATTTGTGCAGCTGAACTGTTATCTCAGTCACCTGAACAACCTTGGGTTTAACCTGAACGGCAAGAACAGGGAGAGTATTCTACAAACACTAAACCTTGGCATCCTGCTTGGAAGACTCAATCCTGTCCTCCTTCAGGAACTATCCCCACCCTGTAAAGAGTGCAGAGCCTCCAAAACCAGTTGCCTGCTTATTTGACAGCATTCGTCTCCCACTTAAAAAAAAAAAAACTCCTAGTGGATTTAATTTAATCTTTTAGTTTTGAGATCAAGACAAGGACACTTTTCTGAAGCCCTGTACAATTACTTTATTTAAAAGATTCTAGAGAATTGGACAGTCACCAGAAACTGCTTTCAGACAGATTTACAGGTCTTCAATAGGTTTGTGTGGCCAGTATGGATACTTCTCCTTGTCCAGTTTGGTTTCAGGGAAGACCTTATTCAAGTCCTCAAATGTCATCTGATCAAATGGAATCATGGTTCTGAACTTCTCAAGCTTGAAGTTGGAGGAGAGTCAAGAAAATGTTAAAGTCAGATGTAAGCAAGAATTCAAATTAAACTAGATGTACAATTAGAAACTAAAACAAGGTTTCATACCAAGCTGCCTTAAACATGAAATTCACAGGGTAGACCCCATCAAACCCACCTGTTTCTCATACTGGACAATACGGGATTTAGAGGCCTGCACATATTCAGCAGCACTCTTAGCCTGCAAGAGAACAAAGGATTTGGTGAGCACATTAATCCTAGATTGTTTCCTGCAGTGAAGCTGTGACTTTCATCCTATTTCACTTTAGAGGGAGTCAGCATTCTCATCTTACCTCTTCATTAAAGAGGCACTGACCTTAAAAAAGCAGCTGCTTTAAATAAAAACTGGTAAAAGTAATTTCAAGCCCTATACCTGCCCCTGATTCTCCTTGCAATTTTTGTGGGTTTACAATAACGGTTTGTTTTCTAATACAAGTTCTCTCTCCCCTGTTGCTATGTGAGATACAAGAGGGAAATTGACTAAGTGCATACTCAGTTTAATCATTTCCCCAAAGCGCTTTCAAAAGCACAAAAGAAACTGAAGAAATAGATCTTTTTTTTTACTATAATAGAAAGAAGTTAGTTATCTTAGGTGTTACTTGTAACAACTACTAAGTGATTTTGCTCCCCAAACCTGGAAAGATGGAGAGAGGTTTGAAGTTACCATTCCCTGTTGCACTGATCAGTTAGGAAGTGGATTCCACTCCTCCTTTTTTGAAGAGATTGAAGGGAGAGTCTGAAGTCAGGTAAACTCCCTAAGCCATAGGCTTCAGCCTCTGTGGCTAAATGTCATGTAAGCCGCTTTGTTCAAACTTGTTTGGAACAGCGGATTACAAGACTCTAGTGATCTAGAAGTTTTTAGGCAAACACATTCTGTAACAGGAAGCCACAAGGAGCTCTTGAGGCTGATAAATTCTCTGGCTAAAGACAACATCAATGACCTGAACACAACCTGTGGAGTTTATGTTACACCCACCCTCCTCTTTCACACAGAGGAGGAACCCATAGAATAGAAGTCCCACTATGCAATGCTCCATCTTGACCCCTGCAGTCTCCAAGAATGCCAACTCCACATTAAAAAGGAGTCAGGCCTATTTGATGAAACTTAGGTGCATCCTCTGGGCTGCTGACAAGATGCCAATATGATCCTCGGTTGAGCAGAGTTCGGTTGCCTTTGTCTTAAACTTGAAATTAGTGTATTACACCAGAAGAGCAAGCAGAACTGCAATCCAGTCCCAGACTCTAAATCCCCCAAGTGTGGTCATGGATAGGTAGAGAGAACCTTTCTTGCTCAAAAGCTGCCTATACGCACAAACCCAGACTTGCAGCTCCTGCACCTCAGCACAAACCCACCAGCAGACTCCAAGTCAGAATTATTCTATACCGCTACAAAGATCAAAGAGAAACCATGTGGCAGGGAAGAGTTTTTAAATACTTACAGCTTCCTGTTCCTGGGCATTTATCTTGTCTGTTTGTGTGTCCACAGGCTCAGGAACCTTTAGTGCATTGTACTGTAAATTCAAAAAATAAATTCTAAACATGTTGCCTCTCAATTCCGTTAAAAGCCCTGCATGCTCCCAGAGCTAATATTTCCCCAGTAGCCAGACTAGTGCTCTTTGGTCTCCCCAAAAACACTCTCGGACCCTTCCAAGTGAACTGGCTTCCTGCAGTAGGTCACCAATCAACTCAACTTGATGCCAGCTTCACAAATAGCGTTTGTTGGCTCTCATATGTACACAACTTACTCAGCACTACACTGTCACCAGGATGCTGATAGTCTTGTACAGAGCCAAAACGTGGTGCTGTATAGAAGCATTAACAATCTAATGCCAAAGGGCTACTATCTTGTCCCACAAACTAAGTCAAGTTATACAGATGAAAAAGAAGCGCCTGAATTCCTCTAAAGGTCAGTGGGTCCTTGTGGACTGGGCAGAGGGCCAGGAGCCAAGAACTGCTATGTTCTAATTCCAGCTCGGACACCAACCCCCTATGTGATACTGGGCAAATCACTGGTTATTTGCCCAATGCACATTTAATTTAAAAAAAAATAAAAAAAAAAAAAAAAGAAAAGAAGTTAACATCCATTCATGGGATTAGTCTTATTACCACACCACTTCGGGGAGTTAACAGTGCTTTTTACTTCCTGCCCTTCAATGGCAAGGGTTGAACGGATGTTAACTCTGTGCTCTCTGGGGAAAGACTGTTCCATTTCTCAAGCCATCACACCTCATTCAATAGTTTATTTGCAAAATTTTACTCCAGTAGGCTTCTGGGCCAGGCCTTGGCCACAGCCAAGGAGAACACAGCACAGCTCAGAATGTGATAGAGGTGTACAAAGGTGGCCTTTTCGCTACTGGACCAGCTGCATGCAGGCAAGTATCAGAGCGTACATCACGCTGCTCTAAATTACGCAGACTACTAAAAGTCTCAAGAGGCTAATACGGCAGTTGGGAATCAGCAGACAATAGGAAAGCTCTGACCACATACCCTTTCCTCAGGCCACTTCTACACCTACAGCTGGGAAAACCTATGCAGGCTGTAAGAGAAAAAGCATTAGCTTTATGCCACTGGAGGATCCCCCTCCTCTAAAATGCCCCTTCCTATGGTTAGCTATGCCAGCTTTTGTGCTAGCAGTGTGATGCAAAGCAGCTGCACACCACAGCACAGGATCTGGGCCAATACCTCCTAATAATCTCTCCTAGCAGTCTGCTAAAGGAAAAGTTCACAGTTCTGTGTCTTGTGCATCAGATATGAGCAGCCTCCACTTGGATTTCAAAACAGCAGCAACATCTAATTGAGGACGAGAATCTCACCTTTTTTTCAAACTCATCCACCATGCCAGCCTTAGCAACTGCAGTCTTGTAATAAACCCAATCAATAGCGGGGGGCTTCTCTGGCAACGAGGTCAACCTGTACAGGTGGAGCAGAACAGCTGAGAGAACAACCCCCAGTAATTTCAGAGAGCTCCCAGTTCCACACCGGACAACTCTGCAGTATCCGTTGCCCCACACCCATCATCAGGCCCCAGGGTAGCAACTACACTAATTTTAGTTGCCAATATTTTCACTTGTCATTAACACGGAAATGGCAATATTGCTTTTTTTTTTTTTTGGTGGAGGGGCAAGTATGATACTCTCAGTTTTTTCATCATGAACATGGTAGGAGCAGGCAAGGAGAGTTTGTGAATGGGGTGGTTAGTTTTCATTACAGTTTTGCAAGGCTGACAAAGGGTTTAAAAAAAAAGAAAGATAATAAGCAATGGCATTTTAGCTGTATCTACACTACAGAACCTGTGCTGGCACAGCCCCCAGTGTAGACACAATGTACACAAACTAAAGGTTTTTGTCCAGCGTAGGAACACCACCTCCCTCAGCCATGCTAGCAATGCTGACAAAAGGCCTCTTCTGTCAGCATATCTGTATCTACACTGAGGGTTTTGTCAGCCTAACTATGTCACTAGGGGATGTATATTTTTCACACGCCCGACCGACATAGCAATGCAGGTATAAATTGTAAGTGAAGGCCAAATCTTAGCTGCATGTCAAACAACATGTGCATCTAGCAATAGCAAATCTAACGTCCAATAGGATTCACTATTGTTTATACCAAGATTTGGCAACAAGTCAAACACTTTTTAAAAGACTTTTTTGATCAGACCAAATGTAACCTCTCTCAGGACTCCCACTAACATTATAGCCACTGTAGCACTATGGAGAAGATCAAGAGAAAGCAGAATTTGGCTAAGTTAAAAAAAAAAACAAGGCTTTATCGAGAAGAATTAAGATAATTATTTTAACATCCTTATGGCAGGCACACAGTTATGAGAATAGCACTTAAAACTATTTTTACATTGGTTTACACATGGACTGCCAGTGCTGAATTGCTAATACCACCATCTTCTCACCAGAGCAACCTTTTCACACTGAAATATACTCACTTGGCTGAAAGAGCATCGCTGCGTGTTTTCAGGGCATTAAACATAGCTTTCTGATTGGGAGGCACTCTCTCTACAAATGCCATCCAGTCGATCGCTTTCAGAGCAGCTCTGCGACCTGCCATTTTTGTGTTCTAGAAAAAGAAAACAGCAAAGAAACTTAAATTTGAAGAGAAATCTAGAAGAACAGGCAAGTTTATTTTCATCAGTGTAAAAGTCTGGGTATTTCATCAACTGAAACCAGTTCGGCTATCTCTTTGCTGCAACTGCACTCATTCTATTGACTCCCACCAAGAGTAATGTTCATAACAACACTTCATATTTCTTATGTTGCTGAGAAGAGAGAAGCACTTTTACAAGCAATAATTGAGTACCACAATACTTCGCTTTGCTAGATAAGATATATAGAGTTCATTTCAACAGGACTCAAATGCAGTCATTCCTGGGGTGGAACATGGCAGCACACAGCAACACTATGAAACTATTTAAGACAAAGTAAAGGCTACTCTGCCTAGTTACTGGAATTATAATAACCAATGTGTGGTTACTGAGCCACAGAGTCAGGCTCCAGATATCACGCTGCTCTCGCTACGGGAACTTTGATTGTCACTACTGATCACTACACTGATTTAACAGAATTATCAGACAGATTAAGGGCTGGAAGGGGCCACGACAGACCATCAAGTCCAGCCCCCTCTCACCTGAAAGGCAGCACCACAAAGCCACTTCTAACGCCAAGCGGGGACATCATCGGAGGTTTGACTCAGGGGAGAAAGTGCTCCTCGACTCACCCCGCCCCCTCCAGGCACGAGTCCCCCATAGCCCGGCACAGCTCAGGGGAGGTGACGGGATCCGAGCACCGGCTGCGCCCGCCCCCGTCCCCAGGCCCAGCCGGACACACCGCCCTGCTATGCAGAGTCCCACCACCCCAGACACGCAGCGCCGCCCGCGCCGAGGTCTTCGCCCCAACCCAAACCACCCGGGTTAGTCTCACCTTCAGCGACCGCCACCACCCTGCTGCCAGGCACCCTCCGGAAACCCGGTCCGACGCCAACCAATCATAGCCCGGTGCCCCCGGAAGGACTCACTCGCACTCTCCTCCCACCCCCTTAGACAACCCGGAAATGATTCTCAATGGCTCTCTTAACACCAATATAATTTAAAAAAATCTTCCCCTCTCTTTTACTCTTCATGTCAACCGCCAGCCTCCAAAATTCCGAGTTTTCCAGGGGCATGTCCCTTACTCACTTCCGGTTGCTCCGGAAGTAATATTCCGCTCTTCCTCAGGTGTTGCCTATTGTATTATATTGTATTCCTGTGTTTTTCTTTACCGGCTTGTGCCTGGGGCTCCCCCCTTAACACAGCCATTGGTTTGTGTGCGTCGCGTGAGGATTTTGGTGTGACTGGGAGGTCGCTGGTGACCCGGAAGTCAAGTCCGGCTCTTCCTGGGAGGGGGGGAACAGTTGTGAGGGAAGCGATGGCTGCCGGGCGCCGGACCCAGCTCTCCCCCCAGCGCTGAGCGAGGGTGGCCGCCCTCGCCTGGGACTCCCCACGAAGTCACGGTCCAGGATGGCGGAGCTGATGGCGGCGGGGGATGGGCCGCCCCGGGGCCGTACGCCCAGCCCGGTACTAGGGGGCATCCCGGTTCCTCCCGGGCCGCCGAGCCCCCGCCTGGCCGGGCCTGCCTGTTCCGGAGGGGGGCTGTCCCCGCGTAGCTCCGAGCCGCCCGTCGCGGACAGGCCTGGCTCCGGCTCCAAGTGGGTCCGGCTCAATGTGGGCGGCACATACTTCGTGAGCACCCGGCAGACCCTGTGTCGGGAGCCCAAGTCCTTCCTGTGCCGCCTCTGCTGCCAGGACGGGCCCGAGCTGGGCTCGGACAAGGTGAGGGGCTGCGCGGGGCGGGCAACGGGCGCCATATGAACCCCCGACGCCGTGCAAACTCCTATGGAGACCACAATCCCGATCGCACCCTCACGCAAGTCTCATCCCTTCCCCCCGAACTGACTAACCTGCCCCCCGCTAGAGATACAGAGCGGTCAGTGTCCCCTCTTCCGCCAGGAAATAGCAGGACTGCAGCGTCCACATACACACTTAACCCGTGTTAGTCATAACCACCGCCCCAAAATAGCTGGGGCAGCGTGTCCCTACAGCCTCTAACGCCCCCTCCATTCACAGCAGGATCCTCTCGCGCACACACCAGTCTAGGCTTTGGGCTACTTCTGTTGGAAGGAGGGGACCTAGTTCAGATCAGACAACTTGAGGGGGTTGAAGCTGTGGGCATTTATTCACCCAGCATAAACACCAACCCTACCCCCTCTCATCCAGATCATGTGCTGTGCGCATAAATCTTCCTCTGTCTGTCTAGCTCCTTTTATGACAGCAATCTCTTACCCTCCCCTATACTCTTCCACTACAGCTATACCCACATCACAACACTAACTACCAGCTGTGTTTCCCACACCCATGTGTGCTCAACACCCATAAGTATATCACATGCCCCCAAATCCTTTAGGCTGCACTTAAACAATGACTTATTTATGAGGACTAATGAGTTTGGGGAAGTCCTCATCAATTATAAAACACTTGACTGTTCTCTAGATCTAAGTATTTAGTAACTTTTCTCAGCCTAGGAATATATTTGTCATTTCTCCTTTTCTTTATAGTCTTCTGTGGTTTGCTTTATTACTTACTAAGTGTATTAATATATGCTATGTACTTTGGTCTGCGGCTTTGAGAACTCAGATTTCAACCTCCTACCCCTACTGGGAATTTCACAAATAAATCAATATGTTGGTAACTACAATCTTTATTTTCTAGAATATTCTTTATATAATTATCACAAAACACTTTACAGAGAAATTAGATACAGAATTAAATAAACACTCCTTCCTCCCAACTACAAGATTAATCAGGAGTTAAAATTCCTACCTGTCAAATAATCTGTTTAAGGTATTTATACTAGCTCCCATTACCTTAGTATCTCAGTACAGAGTAAGAAGGGGTTCCGAAAAAAAAACATTTATTCTGCTGCAAAGCAGACTGCCCCAATCTCAGTAGCACCTAATTTGCTCAATGAGCAAAATAAGCTGAACCATTCTGTGGTGTTTAAAAACCGCACTGTGACCTACTTGTAATGATCATGAATGCTTGCTGCCTCAAAGTATTTCTAAAAGGTCTGTGTTGTTCTGTGTCAACACATCAAACTTGGTTCATAGAATCAGACTATCAGGGTTGGAAGGGACCTCAGGAGGTCATCTAGTCCAACCCCCTGCTCAAAGCAGGACCAATCCCCAACTAAATCATGTGTGGGAAAGAAATGTGTTTTCTTTCACCTATTAATTGTTGATAATCTTACCATGTTGTGCGCTGTGAAAGGCCCTACATTAGATCTAATTTGTTATTGCAATGTTGATTTTAAGAAGTGAAAAAATAAGGAGGTGCGCTAAGTGTCTGATGCATAGTTTAGAAATCAACATGTTGTCTAGAGGAGATGCAAACCATTAATAATTTGCAATGAGGCCTGGGTTATGTGTGTCTTATTTTTCTTTAATTTCCTCAGAAGCATTATTTTGTTTTCTGATTGAACAAGTCCACAGAAACAAAAAGCAGACTGAATAAAAAGACTGCAGTTTTTGTAGGAGCAATAACATTTGTCCCTGTTGTCACAGTGCTGAGTGAGTGCTACTGTGACCTACATTTTTGTTTATTTTGATTTATAGGAAAAAGCACTTGTCCCTTAAGGTGCCTAGGTTTCGGGTCTGCCTGCATGGATCCAGTTGAAAGGATTTGGGGCTTAGCTCATAAACAGTTAAATATTTTTAAAATTTCAATATCAATAAATATTGGACTCACCAAGACAAACACTTTACCTTATTGTAACCCTCCCCCCAACCCTAATTGTTTGTTGCTGTCCATTATCACATTGTCTAAATATTGGGCCCACTCCAGCAAATACTCATAAGAGTAGGCCCCATTGACTCCTTTGAGATAGAGTTCGCAAGATTATGTTCTAAAGTTTTAATATATTCAGGTCATGGACGATCTTATTTGTCTGTAAAGTACTGTAGAAATATTATTTATTTCTAAACCTCATCAGTAGCATTTGGTGCTTTAGGAGCAGATATTTGTGCTAGTAGTCACATTTAAGAGATGAATTGGTACATACAGACATGCTGAATCCAGCATGGTATATAAAGATAGAGATTTGAAATAAAGATTAACAAGGACTGTATCTGTGGAAATATGATTTAGAGAGAAATGAGTAAAATGTGAAATCTGTATCTAAGTGATAAGCTGAGATTTGGACTATGTGCAAGGAAGTTTTGTTCTAAAGATGCATTTTATGGAACAAGAGCCATTTCAATGTAGTTAAATTTTAGAGCTGACGCTAATTTGCATTGTGGAGATTGCCTGATTCCCAAAGGGTCCTTTGGCCTTGGTGTAATTTTCAGATAAATAAAAAGGAGTTTAGGAGTTTGCCATTTATATAAACAGAAGGTTATTAAAAAAAATTGGAGTTGCCTCTTCTTTTTACATGAAAGAAAACCCAATTCCTGTGATCAGGATGATCTGTTTCATGCTATTGCTCCCACACACCAACTTCTCTGGTTCACTTTAACAGGTACTCATGCTGGATCAGAAGTTGCAGAAAGAAAATTAGTGTAGACAGGCTCACTTTCCACATTCCAATCTTCCCCACCCCAAACACTACTCAACATTGCAAACATGGGCCTGTCTACGCTACAGAAATTTTCCAAAGTTTTCTCATCATTGTTAACACCAATACAGCTTCAGGAGGGGTTAGTAATTTTAGGAGTCCCAGTGTAGAGAGGCATCTAGCTTGACTCCCATGTGTGTTTCACAGGATGAGACAGGGGCATATCTCATCGACAGGGATCCCACTTATTTTGGTCCGATCCTGAACTACCTCCGACATGGAAAACTCATAATAAACAAGGAGCTGGCAGAAGAAGGTAAGAAACATTTATTGCAGAGCAAACAACTGTAAACGCCCCATTGGCATGGTTTGACTTGCCAGTCATTACTTAGAGCTAGTCTGGGTGTGGAGGCTTCCTAATGCATTAACATGGTGCCTTGTGTCAGCTCCATTTCGCAATAATGCAGTTTTCTTTTAGATTCCCACAAAGACGTTCTTGAATAATCTGAAGCATATATATACTGGAAGCAGAGACCTTAGATCATAATGCAGGCTATCCTTGCTATGCTCAACTCATTGGCTTTGAACAGCAAATTGTACTTTTTGAGAGAGGAAACATTGTCTAAGAATGATCTCCTGTTCTCTTTTCAAAAACTGCTGTCCTGTATATCCAGAGACATAAATGGCTTTTTTGTAATATGCTGAGATGATGAAATAGATTGATCTGAGATGGCTAAACCTATTTTGCCAAAAGCCTCCAATAAAAGAGCAGAATTTCCCTATTACAGCCTGGTGGGTTTCTATAATCCTAGAGAAGGGGGAGTATGCCTCTGTTAGATGATATATGCTTTCACATAAGGAGGCTATGACCATCTGAGTAGAGCATTTTCTTAGACTCAGCTCAATACCACCATCCATTCTGTATCCATTTATTGTACCACATACAGGCTTAGATTGCAAATATAAAGTTAACTACAAATTGATACCATGCACTGCATCCTTTTGATAAATTTGTCCTTATTCTGTTTTCTGTTGACTAACAGAATTTCTTCCTCTGCTTTTGGATTTTTGTAGGGGTACTGGAAGAAGCCGAGTTTTACAATATTGCATCCCTGGTGCGTCTGGTGAAGGAGCGGATACGGGACAATGAGAACAGAACCTCTCAAGTAATGCATCTTAAAACTTAAGTAGAAAAACTCAGTCATTTATAAAGGTGTGACAGAGGGACAGTGTGCTGCAGAGTGAGACACGTGACAGCAGACTTGGTGTCTAGTCTCTCAAGTAGTTGGATGTCCCTACTTTCTGATGGATGCGAGCACGCATCCTTCATGGTTACTGGCACAGGCTCTCAAATCTACTCCCCGATATTTGCAGGTAGAGGTCAGGAGCAATTGAATTGAAGGGGGCTGGAAATGGGGTCAGTTGAAACAAGGCTTGAAAATGAGGACTCAGACAATAGCTGGGACTTTGAGATCCAAAAAGCAGATTAGCTAGCTGACCTACTAAAAGATCTTATGAGTACATGGGCCATGCATCCCATTTAGAGAATGGGAGTTGCTTTAATATGTTTTATTAAATTGGCAATGAATAAAAGTGCAGTGATACTATTTTGGCAGAAAACGTTAGGTTGCATAAACAGTTTGTGTGAGTGCCCAGTGTAGTCTATTTCCCTTTCCTTGGTGTGGGACGTTACTAGAATTGTGGGTCGCGCTTTCCCTGAAGTCAACCCTAAGAAAGGGAACTTGGGTGATTTTCTCTCCCATTATATTTACAAAATGAGATCTACGGACATGCTTTTCTTGTCCTTCCCAGACAATTTTAATATTTCCATCAAATATAAGCCATCTCAGAACAGCATCTTCTCTCAGTATTTCTTTATTGCAATTCTTTTTGCTGCTGCTGTTTTTAATTTCTAGACTCAATACTAGACGAGTAAAATTTTCAAAACACCTGGAGGACTTAAGCTCCTATCATTTACATGATTTTGACAGTGTCACCTCAAAATCCTCACTACCCTCACCAGGAAAAAAAAAAAATCAACTATATAATGTAGACTAGTTTGGGAAAGTCTATGCAACTCAGTCTTCCTCTTCTATTATAATCCTCAAGGCACAAGATAGATCAGGTTTCCCTACAAGAAGACACTAAAACCTCAGCTGTATTTCTTTGTCTGAAAGCAAACACCGCTAAGCCAACTCCCTCTCCTGATTTTAAAATTCCTGCTTTTTGTTTTTTTCTCCCCTTGGTGCTTTAGGGACCCGTGAAACATGTGTACAGAGTCCTGCAATGCCAAGAGGAAGAGCTCACACAGATGGTGTCCACTATGTCCGATGGATGGAAATTTGAACAGGTACTGTTGCCAATGATTGCCATTCCTATATCCAAAGAAAGGGATCCCCCTGTGGGAACAGCATATGGAATGAGTTTAGATTTCTGTTTAACTACCCCTCTCACGACTCCTTCCTGCTGGTGGTGGGGAGTCTGTATCCAGAATCAGTCCACCTTATATGGAATAACTGGCAGGGGAACAACAGTAGCTTACTGAACCCATAACCAGAAATAAATAATGTTCCCTTGAGATTTTTTGTATCCTTGTCGGACTCTTAAGAAATTCTTCTCTCCTCCCACATTTTCCTGGCCCCACTGTGGAGCTTTTATCCAAGGAGAATGATGGGATCCAGGAGAAGTGAAAACTACTTTCTTCAGAGCCCAGCAGCACAACCCCTTCACAGAGAAGTGTTGAGTGACATGAGAAATACCTTGCCCTGCAAACGTGAACGATGCTACATTTACAACACAAGTTTGCTTGGCCATGTTTCAAGGGAGTTGCCGAGGGCATAAATCAGCCCCAACTTTGGTATCAGAAATCACAAACAGTTCTCTTGTGTGGATATACAAAGAACTTAAGCCACCAAGCTGGTCTATATATCATGACAGTTCCTGAACTATAGCTGAAATAGATCTGCAATATCTGTTTGCAATGAAATATGAGGACCCCAAATCGCTCATAGGACTAATAGGATAGAGCCTTCACTTCTAGATCTATTCAAATCCAGCCCAGCTTAGTAATGACCAAAAGCTGTGACTGTCTGCTAGCTGTGCAGTCACCAATCTGATATCAATGTGATGGTTCAGTGTCCATTTTCCAGTGGACAAGTGTCCATATCCAGGGCGGCTCCAGGCACCAGCGCGGCTCCAGGCACCAGCGCAGCAAGCGCATGCCTGGGGCGCGGCCTGTCGGTCCCTGTGAGGGTGGCAGTCAGGCAGCCTTCGGCGGCATGCCTGCAGGAGGTCCACCGGTCCCGCGGCGGGGACACCAAAGGCGCAGCACTGGTGGACCTCCCGTAGGCATGCCGCCGAATTGGCGTGACCAGCGGCCCGCCCGTGGGCGCGCTGCCGAAAGCCGCCTGACTGCCGTGCATCGGCGTGGCAAAACACAGAGCCGCTCCATCCATATCACATTTGGCACTATTTACTCTTTGTTAGCAGTCTTAACACAGACACCAAGGATTGACCAGGGTGAGGAATTCAATTCCCCTGTCATCCCGACAGGTTCTCTCTATGGCTATATCTATGCTATGAGCTAGGGCTGCGATTCCTTGGCTCATATACACATACTCCACTAGCTCAATGAGAGCTAGTGCGAGTATAAATAGCAGTGTAGCTGAGGTAGGAAGATAGCTGCTAAATATCTTTCCTAATTAACATGGATTCTGTGTATCCACAGTGACTTATGGTCTGAAGTGCAGCTGTTTATGTTCATTATAGTTTAGACGGTCAAGTGGTAAAATACAAAGGGAAAACAGTCCATTGACATCCTAAAACCAAGTCTTTTGTCCTCAGTAGTGAATCAATGCAACCATTAAAGCTCATTCATTGTACAAGCCATTTCCATTATTACAGCTTGGCTAATCCTCCTTCAGACCCACAGAACAATGGATATGATTATTATACTCAGGGGACAGGGAGCCGCATCTATCCCTTGTTATAAGTGTGAGGTTCTCTTTTCTAAAATCCTTTGTGCAGAACTAGTGTGTCCATTAAAATACACACAAGATTCATACTGTTTTTCTTCAGGATGTAAAATCCAAGGCTAGTCTGAAGAGCAGGGCTGAGAAATACAAATTACCGCTATGCTGTTTACTCCAGGCTGTCACTTTAATGTAATCATTATAAAAGAATTGTGCTAGTTTGCCAGATGTCCTTTAGTTGTTGGAATAAGCTGTCCTACCTTTGTGACAAATAAATTGCCTGTCCAGTGTTTCTGCATCAAAAAGTCAGAAGCTGAATTCCTAGAATTTCGTTAAACAAGTGTATCGTCTGGACTGAGTGACTCCTTCTGTAGAGCCCACATTGCCTGGCATATCCATTCTCTGAAGGTTTAACATTTTGTATTGCAAAATGTGATCAATATTTTCAATGTTTTCATTAATTGGAAAATGCATCACAGCTTTCCCTGTTACCCTTTCAGTCAATTTTCCCTGAGTTCAGCCACCACCAGGGGGCTCTGTAGCACGTCCAGTCATGGACCAAGAATATGCATACTATTTGACAGGAAAGTTTATAACACAAGTTAATACCCCAGAGATTTTTGTCCTGTTGAAACTTTAGGTCTGACTGGGTTCAACCAGCCACACACAAAGCGATAACAAGGACAGAGCAAAGTCCATTGGCTATTGCTGCATTAATCCTTACATCCTCTTGGTTATTTTCCTGTTCTTCAGCTAATCAGCATTGGATCTTCCTATAACTATGGAAATGAGGACCAGGCAGAATTCCTCTGTGTCGTCTCAAGGGAGCTCAATAACTCTACCAATGGCATTGTCATCGAACCTAGTGAGAAGGCAAAGGTGAGGAGCCTGGTTAAGAGAGTGGTCTTCAAATGTCCACGTACACAGAAAAGAAATTCCACTATGCTCTAATGATGCCATGAGGTTGATAGTAGTGATTCCTTGCACACGCTTATTCTTTCACTCTTCCCTCTGCCCCCACATCCTCCAGTGAGATTTGCAGTTTTACTAGATGACATTACAGCAAATCTATCCAGTTCCAAAGCTCTTTGTACATTTCACATTGAGCCATAGATATACGGGAAAGTGATGAACTTTTTTTTTAAATATGTAGAAAGGAGGGAAGGAGAGGTTAGCACAACTAGGAAGAGTGAAGCAGATCACATTTCCTAGCTGACAGCCATTGCAGGGAGTAAAGGAGGTTGGTTAGTTGTTTTCCTTTGATCAACCTTTGATCAGGATCTGAAAAATATGAAACTATCCTTCTGAACTTCCTATGTGCAACTGACCTGTCTCTAGAAGAGGCTTTATCATCTCGGATCTCCAGTTTTTCTAAAGGTTCTGAGGGAGGCTCATAGCTTTAGTGGTCTTGAGTATAGACCTTGGAACTAGTCACTCCACTCCTAGCTCTGCCATACACGCTCTGTGGTCTTGGGCAGGTCATATAACCCAGCTGTAAAATGGTTATAATGCTTACCTCACAGAGGTGACTAGAATTAGCGTCTTAACATTTGTGAAGTACAATATTATACTTTTTTTAAATCCTTCTACAGTCATGCTGTTGAATCTGAGTGGGTGAGGTATCTGGGTAGAAAAATGGAAAGAATTGCATTATGGACCAAGACTATGCATCTTTAAACATGCACAGATCACACAGCCTCAAACAATAAATGTTATGACCAAAAGCCAAGTGTTTTTAGCACAGGCCTGTCTTTTCCAAGGAAATCAGTCATTCATAAAAGTTATATAAAAACCAACAGCCACTCCTGAAGATTCTTTGTACATTCCCCTCCTCCATCAATTTTTCCTTCCCCTATTGACACAAATAGCATTTTTCGAAACATGAGAACTAATATCCAAATTTGTCCAAGTTCAACCTTTATTTTACCGGTCCTTCTCTTTTCAGATTCTTCAGGAGCGAGGATCCCGGATGTGATCCACGTGTCTGGTTCTGTTATACTCCGAGATGTCAAAAGGGCAATCTAGCTGGGCAGAGCGTTTCTTCGCAGTTCAGCCTTGCTCTTGTACAGTAACCGAGCTAACGCAAAGCAAAGCTGAGCCTGTCCTGCCAACAGAGAATAATTCTGGTCAAAACCAAAGGCTTCCCCCTAATCCCAGGAAACAAAGGAAAGAAGAGACTCTTCCAGTCGGATAGTCCCTTTTTCAAATGTTTGTTTTTGTTTTCTTGGCCGGCGCTGTATTGAATTTTTCCAACAATGGCTGGGCCGGATTCCCAGTCAGAGCCTTTGGGAGGGTTGCTCAAGTCCATGAGCCCGTGTAGTCAGCCCAACCTCCAGTGGGATGGAGTAGGTGAAAGAGGATTTGTATTAGAGCTGTGCCATTTTGTGTGCCCAGGTTTATCAAGTAGAAAACTTGGAGATACCCTGCAGCGTTCCTCCCCACCAGTTGGCCCCACACAAATCAGATGAAAAGGGTTTAGAAATGAGTGACAAAAACAAGAACTGTCTTTTTTTATACTGAAACTTTTTTCATTCTTGCTTTGTATTTGTTACTTGTCGGGTTCCTGAGAGCCGAGTTCGATACAAAATAATCCTAGTGGGGAGAGCAGTTGTGTTTCTGTCTAATGTGGGCCTTGGGAGGGGTCTACTGCTGGCACTATTATATATGGGCTCTTGGCATATCCCAAAGCTCATTGCTCTTCATGCATTTTTAAAAATCGACATTGGCCCATGCTAGTGACAGAGTAAATGGTTCTGTCCTTTATTCTCTCCAGGTTGGATGAGAGTGGTGACAGGGATCCTGTCCCGCTTCCCCTCCAGGCCCTTGCCACAGCTCTATCTTAGCCTGGCATGATGTTATTTGATTTACCCAGGTTAGGGACTTGTTGCTGCCACGTTCAGCTTTGCCTTGTTTGTCTCCAGCAGCATGGACTTCCTTGATCTCCTGCTGTCTTCTCCCAGCAGGAGGAGTTAGGGGAGGCTTTATTTTGTACTGTAGCAAGCAGGTAGGTTTGTTTTAAATCCATCAGATAGTTTGGGGAGGAGAGCCCCTATTTACATATGGCAATTCCACATCTGCAGCCTGCTCATTACCCCACCTTCAGTAGGTCAGCCCGAAGTACCAAGGGGCATTGCAGAGACTTTGGGGGGCTTGGTGAAAGTTGCCAAAGTGTTGTAATGTTTCTTGTCCAAAGTGACGTGTCGACTTTTGTGACTTTTTTTGGAATGCCTTGAATGGACGTGCAAATGTTCGTTTGTGCCTCTTTCTTTAATTCTAATCTTAGCCAAACTGGACTCTCTGGTCCCTTCAATGAATTGGTGCCACCCCTAAGCAGTGACATGTCCCTACTATCTGGTAAATGGAATTTCGTAGGAGTTTGCTGCATGTTTTTCCTTGGTCCTGGCTTTGTCCTTTGTAGCCCAGTGCCCTGGCACCTGGGCTTTTGAGTCGAGTCCCAAACTGCCATTGAACCAAAGTTCCAGGTACACTGGAATTCACTGGCATTGGCAAGGCCATAGTGGACGGTCCTGGAGTAGGCCATGAGCACAGAATTCCTTGTTTGGATTGATATGTGGGATTCCCCCTGAAAGAATTGGGCTCACTGTGGTCTTGTCAGTGTTTTGTGCATAGGGAAGTTCCCCATCCTGTCTCCTTGTTGACGTGGGGCAGAGGGCAGCGACCAGTGGTTTCTGAGGGTATGGATGACCTTTTCAATGAACAAGGTGCAGTAAAGAAATTCAGAGGGATAACCCCCCCCCCACACACACACACACACACACACACACACACACACACACTC